AGCAAACATTCAACACCTGTTTTTATGTTTACTTTTGAACCGAGAATGACTAGTAGAAAACATTCAACATGTTTTTATGTTTACTTTTGAACTGAGAATGACTAGTAGCAAACATTCAACATGTTTTTATGTTTACTTTTGAACTGAGAATGACTAGTAGCAAACATTCAACATGTTTTTATGTTTACTTTTGAACTGAGAATGACTAGTAGCAAACATTCAACAAGTCATTCTCAGTTCAAAAGTAAACATAAAAACAGAACTGCCAAGTATGGATTGTCAATCAAGGGCCAAGCTCCTACAGTTCTGCACGTCTGAAACTCATCATAAAATGTTCGAAGATGTGGATCTCCAAACAGTCCACAATGACTGAATTTCACTGGTCCAGACTGACTGCTTCGGAATGTACATTCAGTAGGGACGAACTGCTTCGGTTTTGGAGGTTGTTTTCGACCGTACTCCGGTCTTCCTTTGGCAATAATGTGAGTACAGTTTTTGTTCTCCAACCATTTCATTACAAATGTAGCTATGGTATGATAACTCAAGTCTCCACGACAACTTCGGGCTGTGGCCCTAATGCAGTCAGCGTAATTACGTAGCACCGTGCAATAGTGATAGCGCGAATAACTCGGATTCGTTGCAGTCAATTCTGTTTCGGACTGGCTTTCCCTTCTGTACTGGATGGAACACAACTCCACTCGACAGGAGGAAGCAGCTGTAAACAAAAGGTTAGAAAACACTTTACATACTATACGATTTCACTAATTAAATGTGCAACAGATCAGAGATATTTGATCTACAACACATAAATAACTGAAAATATGCTTAATACTTTTAAACACGTACAAAAAAAAATAATAATACTAGGCTCGATGAATGGTGCACTACAAATTTGATAATATGAAGAGAGAAGCGATAAAACATTTAAGTGAAACTTCCTAACATGTACAATCAAAACTTTATCACGTATCTATCCCAACAACAACCTAATACTCATTTCTGGTAGCTTCAAAATAATGTGTTCAATAAGACAGAAGAACTGTTACATTAAACAACAGGAGAACGTAAACAATGTTTTAAACTGATGTGAAACCTTCCAAAGGTATTACTACATCTACATGTATTTTAATGTTACCTGTGATACATCCACATTTATTTTATACTGATACAGAGACATGATCCCTGATAAAATTGTTCATAGTTCAGTTTCTAAAAATGTGGCTCAGATAGTAGAATAAATAAGTATAGGCTCATTGTTTGCTGGCCTTATCAAGTTTAGGACAGAGTGAGACAGGAAAAAAGGACACAGATAATAATGTTGGTTTTCAAGTTGTGAAAAATGGTGAAAGATATCACAGTCTCCTTTCATATCAATATTGGCACAACTGTAACAACCTGTTTCCAAACTTTCATGGTAACTTAATAAATATATGTAATTTCATGAGTATAACATGAAAACATGTTGAATGTTTGCTACTAGTATTATGACTATTGAGTGACCCGTTTCATGTTCATGTATTATGACTATTGAGTGACCCGTTTCATGTTCATGTATTATGACTATTGAGTGACTAGTTTCATGTTCATTTATTATGATTACTGAGTGACCCGTTTTAAAAACCCACCCTTAATGAAAGACAAAATTAAAATATTTTTATACACAAAATTGAAAGCTACAACGTTTCATGTTTTGTTCCTCAGATCAAGCATACAAGTGTATAAAGAACAAATCAAGTTGTAGAATCAAATTCGTTTGGACATTCCAAAAATCTCACCATTTTAAAGCAATATATAAAAGTGATATCATGTAAATTATACTAGTTACAAAAACCTTCTTGACAAACGAACACTTTTAAGTCTTGCAGTATTAAAACTGGCTAAATAACAAACAAGTTTCCTGTTTACCTTTGTAGTTCCTGTTGCTTGCGACCCCCTGAAAACCTGTTCATTAGTGATCTATGAACATGAAACTAGTCATTCAATAGTCATAATACATGAACATGAAACGGGTCACTCAATAATCATAATACATGAACATGAAACTAGTCACTCACTAATCATAATGCATGAACATGAAAGCAGGATCACAGAAAGGATCATTGTTGAGGAAAATAAAAAGACTGGAGCACTGTTGACATTTGAAAATGGATCTTGAGGGAGAAGTTAATGAGGCAGTGTTCACATTTCAGACACTCTCCTCTCTTGTACAGATTATTCTAATTGAAAATCAAGACACCTGTCGTATGGCCAAAACAACCTGTTAAATAAACAGGACTGATAGTTAGCGATTTTTCACCATCTTTATCTCGGGCTGTGGTAGTCCAAACTATCACGTATTTTCAGTGGATGTTCTCTGCTGGACTCTTGTTTCACATACCAAATCCAAAGGCAATCCATTCAGAAATACGTGAGATATAAAATCTTCAATTTTGATTTTCTTCCTTTATTTGAAACTTTATTTGATAGAAAAATATATTTAATTTTTATGGATTTTTTTTTCAAATTTAGTACACTGATAGATGTTTTCACATTACAATTGGGAGTCTCATTTGGTATAAATGTAAGCCACGTGTGCAAAGTTATTCAACAAAAACTGTTCAAATTTGATGAAAATTTGTGCGCACGTTTACGCAAAAAGTCACGTGAGCTATCGGTCTAACATTTCTACTACAGCTTCACCTAAGAGTAAAAGTGGACCGTTTTTAGTTTTTTTCATTCGGATTAAAGACGGCTGATTTAGAGCAGCAAAACTATATATATAGGGTGAGAGGACGTGCAAATACATAAGTATTGGTTAGGCCAAGCAAACTATATTAGCAGTTTCTAGCTCTAGTTTTCGAAAAGAATCGTTCGGGTAGACGGTTATTATTGATTATTCATTG